ATCTCCTGTCTCATCATTCTCGCAGTAACTAATATCCACATAAACACACTTTAATTTGTTACTCCTGCTTCTATTTCTGTTAATTATTTCCAAACTTTGCTGACAAAGCTGTTAGTTGGAGCTGCAGGCAATTCCAAAAAAGGAGACAAAAGAAAAGAAAAATAATTTAAAGGCGTGAAACAGAAACTTTGGAGATTAACCTGCACATGTTTCACTCCTCATGAGCCCGGAGCGCAGACATGTCTTTAAGCTTCAGTCTTTCTGAGAAGCTAATGACTGCATCTACGTGCTCACTGCGCAGCGGGCTCAGAGCTGCATCCGGGCTGAGCTCCCTTCACCTCAAGTCTTCGGCTCTGTGCACTTGTCTCTCTCACGCAGCAGTTTTGTGCTGTGCTTTCAAACCTGCGCTTTGAACAAGTTCAACTCCACATCTGAGGAGCAGCTGAAGTTTAGGCAAAACAATAAAACAATAAATAAAAAAGACAAACCCCTACAAGGAGCAGCAACCATGACAGAGTATGTACAAGTTATTAACCCGCATTACACCACACGGAGCACGGCTCCTATTTCAAGGGGATATGTCTGAGGTGGCTGCGGGCGGAGGGAGGGGGGGTCTGCGCTCAGGTACACGCAGCCAATGAGGGCAGGAGGGAGTGCCCACAACAACCGAGAGGCGGTCCGCGTCGGCACAGACACAGCACACCTTCAGATGGGGATGAAGTAGCAGCGGCAGCCGAGCGACACAGAAAGAGCAGCGTCTGAACCGCGGAGGTTTTCTTCACTTGGGGGGGGGACAGGTGACCGCTCCCGCGTCCTTCGGTGGAAATTACAGCTGGTACACCTCCCAGGCACGCGCACCCTCCGATTCCCACATTAGATGTGACTGAACTCCGTTTCTGTCTGATCGTCTGAGCCCGGCACCAACATGGAAAATGCGCACACTAAATCTGCGACTGAAGTTTTAGACAACTTCGGTGTGAACGAGAACACCGGGCTGACTCTGGAACAGGTCAAAGCCCACCTGGAGAAATATGGACCGAACGGTGAGTAGCTCAATCAATCATTTCCCTCTTAAATGTGCGGCTCGTGGCTGCTGCGTGTTGTGATGTACATCGATTCATTTCCCAGGAAATCCCTGAGCAGCCGTTATGTTTCAAGCTGAGGCGGATCGTGCGCGTAAAAAACAGCCCGGTCCCCTCAGGCGCGCAGTCAGTGGAAATGTCAGAGGCACGTTCACTGATGCACATGTGTGGAAACACCTCGCAGCACATAGAAGGAAAGGTGCAAGTCTGACCGATCCAGCTGTGTTTGAGGGAGTCCCCCTCCCCGAGGTCGCCTCGTGTCGGGTCTGAAGTCATGTCAAGCTCAGTGAGCAGACGGACAGCGCGCTCGTATCTCACAAAAACAAAAAGGGTCCACTGACCAAATACCGACACAGTGCGCAGCTGTGTTGGACGGACATCCTCGGCTGTCCTGCAGAGCTCGGCTCTGGGGCATGGTGCTGTGAACAATCACACTGGAAATCTTGAACAACCTGTTTTCACTTTCAACAGTTGTTCTTACAGCGCCTCTACTTTGCAGTTCAAATTACAGATAACAGAGTCGCTGGGTCACGTCATGTAACAGAGTGACATGCTGGACCGGGCCCGGGTTGCCAGGTCTGCTGATCATGAGGCAAGCCCGTCCAGGTCGACCTGATCGCATACACGCACCGACACATACTGGTGTTTGCGTGGTTGTGTGTGGAGTTTGGGCCTGACACCGACGCACCTATCGCTCCTGTCATTTGCATGTGCTGCCAAGCTGTTGAGCAGAGCGCGCATTGTGCCCGGCGAACAGAAGCCCTTTTGTTGCAGCCAGCCGACTCTACCCAGGGGCTGTGATGACTTCATGGAAAAAAGCAACGTCTTGCTACAGATAACATCTCTTTCGCTTTGAGCTGTGAACTTCCTGCCCTGTGTGAGCGCGCTGCAGAGAAACACTGGAGGGAGGGAATACCCCCCCTTTTTTTTTTCCAGTTTTGGGGGCTACCTGCAAAAGGGTTGTCACGTGCTTTTTCCCAAGTCCAAACTGTTGAAAAGCAGGAGAGTTGACGGGTCTGTTGACTCCTTCAGTGCGAGTCCCTGCACAGTGATGTACGGCTGCTGAACTGTTGCTTCCCCTCTGCTCACAAACCACAGACTTTGTAGATGAAGCAAGGGCCTCATGTGCGCCTTGGTGTTTGTTCCAGGCTATGCTCGTTCAAAGCAGCTCCGGCTGGTATGATTACCGTGCCTCCACTGACATGTGTGCACTGTCTGGTTAGCAGGGGACCCCAAACATCCTCCAGTATGCGTCTGAGCTCAGCGTTTGCCTGGGTTTGGAGGCAGATAGGACGCGAGCTGCTGTCCAAGTGTCGCTCCAGCTGTCTGTAAGGAGGCGCGACACGCTGGGAAGATTACAGGATCTGTTTGACTCAGAGATGACACTGTCGTGGGCCTGGTGGGGCTTCTTCTCGCACTGCCTCTGCTGATTGAGCTGAGACTGTGTCCTGCACTATTATGTCATAATTTGGAGGTCACAAATAAAGGGAAACCACCATGAGGTTAAATATCGGCCTAGTGTGAGATTTTTCCCCTGATTGTGGTGTCGATGGCAACAAGTTCAAACCTTACTGATATTTATATCATCTTTTTTGTAACTTGTTGCTGAAACGTAAATACAGGTGAGCTTCCTATCAGCACTCGCGCTCTGTTGGAACATTAGCTCCGCTCCCACATATGGAGACAGCCTTTACACAGCAGTCTGCTGCAGAAAGGAGGCAGCTGGCCTTTTATTCACACCTCCCGTTTACGGTCTAGCAGCAGCTCGGTTATTTGCAACTCCATTCACAGAGACGCACACTACAGGCATCCAGCTAAATGACTGTTGAGCGCTACAAGCACCTCAATTTATGAGACAGTTTATCACTTTCATCATTGTGAAGCAGTTGGTTGTGATGCAGCAGGAGAGGAAGTCTGTCTGTGTGTGGGTGCACACTCGTGGTGCTCAGTGAGTGTGTGCTGCACTCGTTGTTAGGAAGAGTCAGAAAAACGACACGTTTGCTCTCTAAACTTTCTTTGTTTAAAAAAACGACATTTTAAAGACACTCGAATGAATGAACTCACATCATCTCCTTCTTAGGAACTGAACATATTAAATGATGTTTAAATTGAGAAGGACTCTCACTCGGAGCATGTTAAATAATGAGATTTCATTCACATCCTCCTGTTTTGGAACAAAGGCCCCCTCTGTGACTAATTTACAGTGTGAGGCTTTTCTGTTTCCTTTCTTTATGGCTTCTGTTTTTTCAATTACGTTGCACAAGTGCAGAGCCTTCAGAGTAGCCTGCATGTGTTAAGATGTCACTCGACACTCCCTGGAGATAGTTGTGCAACATTTACAGGTTAAACAACTTGGCGTGACGTGTCATTGCGCCACCATTGCTCCGTGTCCAAAATGACATGCGTTTTCTGACTCGATGGAAATGCTTCAAGTGGAGTCAAAGTGCCGGTGGCAGCAAAGCAAAAGTGTTCGATTGATAAACTGTCATGAATCCCACTGAACTTCTTCTCTTCTTTGAGTTGTTTGAATTAAAGCGTTTGAATCCTTTCACTGATGGAAGCTGCCTGTTGTTGTTATCTGAGCTGTTTCTTCAGTCTGCTTTCTGCCACACATAATAACTACAGCTTCCTCTGGTAGGATCTCGCTCTCACACAGGGCTGTTTCTCTTCCTGTTCTGCAGATCAACATAAAAGCTGCCTGACTTAATCTCTCCTCCATTTGAAATGTGAGAGACGCGCTGCTTCCTGCTCCTCCTCTCTACCGGCACACTCGCCACGGCGCTCTGCAGTGCGCGGCTCGATCACTGAAAAGTGTCCAGTTGAGACTTAAACTGCGGTAACAGTGTTGGTGTTGTGTGGGCTGAGAGAAGTTGTAGAGAAGTAATTTGAAGTCTTCGGGGTGTTGAGTCACTTCCCTGTTGTAGCGTCTCTGTGCGTGCCTGCCCAGCTGCCTTCACAGCGACTGTGATCCTGTTCTAGCTTGTCACTTGTCTCGGCTTCTTCCCTCCCACCTCTGCGTGTGTCACTCATCATCAAGCCCTTATGTTAACATGATATTGAGTCATGAGGCTCAGCACGGTCCGATCTACAGAGGAGATGCACGGAGTTTGTTCCAAAGTGTGGGCAGTGTGCAGAGCGTGTGCTGTAGCTGCCTTCAAATATACCACAAAGAGGTAAAGACAGTCATTAAATAGCATTCAGAGACGTCCAAGAGCAGCGTGGGTTACGGATAATCAGCTGCATGTCAATTACTGATCATTAGTGGCTGGAACACGAGAACCTAACAGTTGGATCAATGGTTAAATAACAGACTGAATCTAAAAGATGGCAGCAGTCTGAAAGGTGAAGCCAATGGCCAGCAGGGGGCGCCTCCTCTGGTTTGGATGCTGAATCTTGTGATCTGAGTAAACACTTTCCTGATGAGTTTGTGATTCTAATCGTTAGTTTCAAGTTTAGTGCCGCAGAGCGTTCATTTAGAAAATCATTCGTGTTCTAAGTAAAACGTGATGAAGCTGAGTGTGCACATGCAACGAGCGTCCTTGCTTTTTGTGTTCATTCCACCCACTGACTGTAGTAGCAGTTACAGTCACTGATTCTGCCCTTTACTAGCAACACTTTATGCACCCGTCCATCGAGCCAGCGTCTCAATCACTTATCTGTCCACATATTGTATATAATAAAGAAGAAAATGTCACCATAACCATGCTCAGCTTGCATGTGTGGAACTATCTGTGACAGGCCCACAATCCAAACACAAGGAGCTGTACGAAGGAAAGGGAAAAAGTGTTGTCTTCAGACAGACCTGCTTGTAGGAGCTGATTTTGGCCCTTTTTGAATACGATGGTTAAAACTACAGATCACTGGTTCTTAACCTGGGTTCGATTGAACCCTAGGGGTTCGGTGAGTTGGTCTCAGGGGTTCGGCAGAGCCTCCACCATGACATGCACGGCTCATTTTGTGCACCAATAAAAAACATATCTATGTCTTGAATTTGAAAAAAATCATATTTTATTTTTCACTAAAGAGGGGTTCAGTGAATGCGCATATGAAACTGGTGGGGTTCGGTACCTCCAACAAGGTTAAGAACCACTGCTACAGATAATTTTAATAACCACACATTGTTGGAAGAGAATCGTGCATTTATAGCAGTTGTTTGGGGATCGTTTCAGCCGTCGAGAACAATCGTGGCCCTGTGATTATGAACTGTTAGCAGGTGGGTGTGATGGCAGCATCACAGACATGGCTGAGAAGGGGCTTTTACAACGTTAAGCATATATTTAAGCATTCACACAGCCTGTAGAAGTCGCTCAACTAGTTTCAGTGGCCTCCATTGCTTCAGGGTTCACATCAGTGAAGTTGTAATCTATCAGGCACATGATTGGACAGAAGTGGCGCTCTGGTTTCCAAACCTAGAAGAAACTCTATAAATACACAGATATTTCAGTCTGTCCGTTTGGGGATTGCTGACTATTTTCCACAGCGTCTTCGTTTGGCGGCCAGATGCCTGTTGAGATGTTCGAAAAATGGTTCTTTGCACAGCTGTGACCTTAAAGAGGAAACTCTGAGCCCTGACGAGATACGGGCTCTTTGCTAATCACCTCAAGCATGTCCTGCTCTGTTGACAGGCCCTCTTCCTTTTCCTCTATAAGTTGACAGCAGAGCTGATGATACTGAGTGGCAATATGTGGGGAAAAGCACTTTATTGGATGCTTGTTTAAACTTGTATCTGATGTAGAAAGAGCAGTATTCAGTGTACGTGGGGTGAACAGTTAGAGAGCAGCGTTCTTTACATTAAGGCCTAAATATAGATGTCGTATCTCTGGTCTTCATCAGCACTTTCACTCTTTCATGGCTCAGTCGAGCATGGCGTGCAAATGATCGATGCAGTAAAATAAGCACTTGCATGCGTGCATTTAGAACGTGAGAATGATGCTACAGTTTGATTTCAGCATGCTCTATCTTGTGCAACAACCAAAGGGAAAAAACTCGCTCTCTTTTTCCCTGACCACAGCTTTGATGACATCAGATACAGTGCAGCCAATGGACAGCTGCAGCGGCCGTTACCCTCAATCTCATGTCGTAACTGGCTCGAAAAGAGGAAAATCTCCACTTTGAAACTAAATTCAGTCTCTCTAACGACGCAGACTTTCAGAGAGAAGCTGCACAAAAGAGCCAATCTCCTTTCAGCTTTGACAGCTGATGGTATTTCTCCTCTGCGGGCTCAGCAGGGGAAGAATCACGACTATCAGTTAATCGATATCATCGCAGCTAATGCCAAATTGTACTGAGCAGATCATCTTACGTCCTTTTTGTCCCCACTGTGCATGTTAATATAATTTTCCTTCCACCAAAATGAAACCATTGTTCCAACTTATTTTGACAAAGTTCGTATAATGTGAACTGGGAAAACGTTAATGCTGTTCTTATTCTGCTGTTAGGGAATCTGGTCCTTTGTTGCTCAAGAAATCTTCACTTTTATAACTTTATATTTCAGGATTTTTCCTGAAATATTTCAGAGAACAGCAGAATTTTTAACTTGACAGAAACTGAGCTGTGCTTCCACTGATGTTTGAATGACTGCAGGCTAAAGGATTCAATACTTCAGAAATTGGTCCAATACTGTTTCAAATAACTGAATCAAATATGTGACTTTGAGCCAATTTGGGTTGGCTCAAAATTTGACAAGATGTTGCCAGTTCCAGCAGCAGGAACCCCTCTCCTCTAGCTTTTTCTTTGTGTGTAATTTGCACTTTGGGGAAAAAGCCACATTTTGGGGTCACCAGTGAACATTTCTATGCTTCTCTCAAACTGAGTTGTTGTCACTTCAGAAGTCATCAGACTTTCCTCTAACTACACCGTCACCATTTCTGCAGGTCCAAAACTCTACGACTACTTTCGCTGTTTGTGACTAAACAGCTGCTCCCCTCAGCTTTGTTGTGTGCTGCTAAATAGCATTAGCATGCTACACTAGAATCCTCGCGTTCTCGTTGGCGTTTAGCTCAAAGCACCACAGTTAGCTCAAAGCACCACAGTTAGCTCAAAGCACCACAGTTAGCTTAAAGCACCACAGTTAGCTCAAAGCACCACAGTTAGCTCAAAGCACCACAGTTAGCTCAAAGCACCACAGTTAGCTCAAAGCACCACAGTTAGCTCAAAGCACCACAGCTAGCTCAAAGCACCACAGTTAGCTTGGCTGTGTTGACTTAATCTTCTTTTGTTTGAGCAGCTTTAATCCACTATGAACGATTTCTGGGGCTTAAATGACTGAACATCGGCCGTATGTGAGGACTTGATGTTCTTGTAGTAACTTTAGCATCACTGCTCTTGTTCCTGTGGTAGCAGATCTTTAGGGTTGCCTGGCAGAGGTCAGTGGGATGCCTAAAGATGGTCGCTGATACTCACCCATGAGACGTAGTTCGATATGAGCTCCTGAAGCCCTCTGTCGATATTTCTGTAAAGGAGAGAAACTTTGACACACTGCGGATGTTCTGCAGTCACTTGCAGTGCTCTCTGTGCAGATAATGATGTTCGGGTGGAGACTGAAGTACACTTATCATTCACATTTGATACGGTTAATGCATTCAGACCTTTTCCAGTGGGACAACACATTTAGTGGATGTAGGAAGCTATCATTAGGGGTTACCATCATGCTATTTATAGACCTGTTTTGCATTCAGGGTTAGTGGATGGAGCCGAATCCCTCAGCTAGTGCCCGAGCAGTACACGCCTCACCACACTGCCTCCTTCCTCCTTCACCCCCGTGCTCCTCCTCAATCGATGGGTGACTGTAAGC